CGACACAGGAAGCAATGACACCATCATCACCTTTCCCCTCATCAACAGAAACCACCAAAACCCCCAGTACACAGTTGTCTGTGCCTCCTGAAGAGAGCATAACTAAATCAACTGCTGGAGCTACTGAAACATCCACACAAACCGAGGAAGCACCAAGCACCTTGGAAAGTACATCTGCGAGAGAGGAAAGTACAACAGAGGTTACTACTAGCCCCACCTCTATAGACACATTGGTAAGCTCATCTCAAGCTTCCACAGTTTCCGAGGAAACTACTTCAACAGAAGCATCAAGTGCAACGCCAAGCACCTTGGAAAGTACATCTGCGACAGAGGAAAGTACAACAGAGGTTACTACTAGCTCAACCTCTACCCAGATGATGCTGACAACACATCAAGCGTCTACAGTTTCCGAGGAAGCTACTTCAACAGAAGCAACAAGTGCAACGTCAAGCACCTTGGGAAGTACATCTGCGACAGAGGAAAGTACAACAGAGGTAACTACTAGCCCAACCTCTACCCAGATGGAGGTAACCACATCTCAAGCTTTCACAGTTTCCGAGGAAACTATTGCAACAGAAGCAACAAGTGCAACGTCAAGCACCTTGGAAACTACATCTGCGACAGAGGAAAGTACAACAGAGGTAACTACTAATCCAACCTCTACCCAGACGGAGATGACCACATCTCAAACTTCCACAGTTTCCGAGGAAACTACTTCAACAGAAGCAACAAGTGCAACTTCAAGCACATTGGAAAGTACATCTGCGACAGAGGAAAGTACAACAGAGGTAACTACAAGCCCCACCTCTACCCTGACGGAGATGACCACATCTCAAGCTTCCACAGTATCCGAGGAAACTACTTCAACAGAAGTAACAAGTGCAACGTCAAGCACCTTGGAAAGTACATCTGCGACAGAGGAAAGTACAACAGAGGTAACTACTAGCCCCATATCTACCAAGACGGAGGTAACCACATCTCAAGCTTCCACAGTTTCCGAGCAAACTACTTCAACAGAAGCAAAAAATGCAACGCAAAGCACCTTAGAAAGCACATCTGCGACAGAGGAAAGTACAACAGAGGTAACTACTAGCCCAACCTCTAGCCATATGGAGGTAACCACATCTCAAGCTTCCACAGTTTCCGAGGAAACTACTTCAACAGAAGCAACAAGTGCAACGTCAAGCACCTTGGAAAGTACATCTGCGACAGAGGAAAGTACAACAGAGGTAACTACTAGCCCCACCTCTACCCAGACGGAGATGACCACATCTCAAGCTTCCACAGTTTCCCAGGAAACTACTTCAACAGAAGCAACAAGTGCAACGTCAAGCACCTTGGAAAGTACATCTGCGACAGAGGAAAGTACAACAGAGGTAACTACTAGTCCCACCTCTACCCAGACGGAGGTAACCACATCTCAAGCTTCCACAGTTTCCCAGGAAACTACTTCAACAGAAGCAACAAGTGCAACGTCAAGCACATTGGAAAGTACATCTGCGACAGAGGAAAGTACAACAGACGTAATTACTAGCCCAAAATCTACCCATATGGAGGTAACCACATCTCAAACTTCCACAGTTTCCATGGAAACTACTTCAACAGAAGCAACAAATGCAACGCCAAGTACCTTAGAAAGTATTTCTGCGAAAGAGGAAAGTACAACAGAGGTAACTACTAGCCCAACCTCTACCAAGACGGAGATGACAACATCTCAAGCTTCCACAGTTTCCGAGGAAACTACTTCAACAGAAGCAAAAAGTGCAACGTCAAGCACATTGGAAAGTACATCTGCGACAGAGGAAAGTACAAAGGAGGTAATTACTAGCCCCACCTCTACCCAGACGGAGGTAACCACATCTCAAGCTTCCACAGTTTCCGAGGAAACTACTTCAACAGAAGCAACAAGTGCAACGTCAAGCACCTTGGAAAGTACATCTGCAACAGAGGAAAGTAGAACAAAGGTAACTACTAGCCCCACCTCTACCCAGACGGAGATGACCACATCTCAAGCTTCCACAGTTTCCCAGGAAACTACTTCAACAGAAGCAACAAGTGCAACGTCAAGCACCTCTGAAAGTACATCTGCGACAGAGGAAAGTACAACAGAGGTAACTACTAGCCCCACCTCTACCCAGATGGAGGTAACCACATCTCAAGCTTCCACAGTTTCCGAGGAAACAACTTCAACAGAAGCAACAAGTGCAACATCAAGCACCTTGGAAAGTACATTTGCGACAGAGGAAAGTACAACAGAGGTAACTACTAGCCCCACCTCTACCCAGACGGAGGTAACCACATCTCAAGCTTCCACAGTTTCCGAGGAAACTACTTCAACAGAAGCAACAAGTGCAACGTCAAGCACCTTGGAAACTACATCTGCGACAGAGGAAAGTACAACAGAGGTAACTACTAATCCAACCTCTACCCAGACGGAGATTACCACATCTCAAGCTTCCACAGTTTCCGAGGAAACTACTTCAACAGAAGCAACAAGTGCAACGTCAAGCACATTGGAAACTACATCTGCGACAGAGGAAAGTACAACAGAGGTAACTACTAATCCAACCTCTACCCAGACGGAGATTACCACATCTCAAGCTTCCACAGTTTCCGAGGAAACTACTTCAACAGAAGCAACAAGTGCAACGTCAAGCACATTGGAAAGTACATCTGCGACAGAGCAAAGTACAACAGAGGTAACTACTAGCCCCACCTCTACCCAGACGGAGATGACCACATCTCAAGCTTCCACAGTTTCCGAGGAAATTACTTCAACAGAAGCAACGAGTGCAACGTCAAGCACCTTGGAAAGTACATCTGCGACAGAGGAAAGTACAACAGAGGTAACTACTAGCCCCACCTCTACCCAGACGGAGATGACCACTTCCCAAGCTTCCACAGATTCCGAGGAAACTACTTCAACAGAAGCAACAAGTGCAACGTCAAGCACCTTGGAAACTACATCTGCGACAGAGGAAAGTACAACAGAGGTAACTACTAGCCCCACCTCTACCCAGATGGAGGTAACCACATCTCAAGCTTCCACAGTTTCCATGAAAACTACTTCAACAGAAGCACCAAGTGCAACGTCAAGCACCTTGGAAAGTACATCTGCGACAGAGGAAAGTACAACAGAGGTAACTACTAGCCCCACCTCTACCCAGACGGAGATGACCACATCTCAAGCTTCCACAGTATCCGAGGAAACTACTTCAACAGAAGCAACAAGTGCAACGTCAAGCACCTTGGAAAGTACATCTGCGACAGAGGAAAGAACAACAGAGGTAACTACTAATCCAACCTCTACCCAGACGGAGATTACCACATCTCAAGCTTCCACAGTTTCCGAGGAAACTACTTCAACAGAAGCAACAAGTGCAACGTCAAGCACATTGGAAAGTACATCTGCGACAGAGCAAAGTACAACAGAGGTAACTACTAGCCCCACCTCTACCCAGACGGAGATGACCACATCTCAAGCTTCCACAGTTTCCGAGGAAATTACTTCAACAGAAGCAACGAGTGCAACGTCAAGCACCTTGGAAAGTACATCTGCGACAGAGGAAAGTACAACAGAGGTAACTACTAGCCCCACCTCTACCCAGACGGAGATGACCACTTCCCAAGCTTCCACAGATTCCGAGGAAACTACTTCAACAGAAGCAACAAGTGCAACGTCAAGCACCTTGGAAACTACATCTGCGACAGAGGAAAGTACAACAGAGGTAACTACTAGCCCCACCTCTACCCAGATGGAGGTAACCACATCTCAAGCTTCCACAGTTTCCATGAAAACTACTTCAACAGAAGCACCAAGTGCAACGTCAAGCACCTTGGAAAGTACATCTGCGACAGAGGAAAGTACAACAGAGGTAACTACTAGCCCCACCTCTACCCAGACGGAGATGACCACATCTCAAGCTTCCACAGTATCCGAGGAAACTACTTCAACAGAAGCAACAAGTGCAACGTCAAGCACCTTGGAAAGTACATCTGCGACAGAGGAAAGTACAACAGAGGTAACTACTAGCCCCACCTCTACCCAGACGGAGATGACCACATCTCAAGCTTCCACAGTTTCCGAGGAAACTACTTCAACAGAAGCAACAAGTGCAACGTCAAGCACATTGGAAAGTACATCTGCGACAGAGGAAAGTACAACAGAGGTAACTACTGGCCCCACCTCTACCCAGGCGGAGATAACCACATCTCAAGCTTCCACAGTTTCCGAGGAAACTACTTCAACAGAAGCAACAAGTGCAACGTCAAGCACCTTGGAAAGTACATCTGCGACAGAGGAAAGTACAACAGAGGTAACTACTAGCCCCACCTCTACCCAGACGGAGATGACCACATCTCAAGCTTCCACAGTTTCCCAGGAAACTACTTCAACAGAAGCAACAAGTGCAACGTCAAGCACCTTGGAAACTACATCTGCGACAGAGGAAAGTACAACAGAGGTAACTACTAGCCCCACCTCTACCCAGACGGAGATGACCACATCTCAAGCTTCCACAGTTTCCGAGGAAACTACTTCAACAGAAGCAACAAGTGCAACGTCAAGCACCTTGGAAACTACATCTGCGACAGAGGAAAGTACAACAGAGGTAACTACTAGCCCCACCTCTACCCAGACGGAGATGACCACATCTCAAGCTTCCACAGTTTCCGAAGAAACTACTTCAACAGAAGCAACGTCAAGCACCTTAGAAACTACATCTGCGACAGAGGAAAGTACAACAGAGGTAACTACTAGCCCCACCTCTACCCAGACGGAGATGACCACATCTCAAGCTTCCACAGTTTCCGAGGAAACTACTTCAACAGAAGCAACAAGTGCAACGTCAAGCACATTGGAAAGTACATCTGCGACAGAGGAAAGTACAACAGAGGTAACTACTAGCCCCACCTCTACCCAGACGGAGATGACCACATCTCAAGCTTCCACAGTTTCTGAGGAAACTACTTCAACAGAAGCAACGAGTGCAACGTCAAGCACCTTGGAAACTACATCTGCGACAGAGGAAAGTACAACAGAGGTAACTACTAGCCCCACCTCTACCCAGACGGAGATGACCACATCTCAAGCTTCCACAGTTTCCGAGGAAACTACTTCAATAGAAGCAACAAGTGCAACGTCAAGCACCTTGGTAAGTACATCTGCGACAGAGGAAAATACAACAGAGGTAACTACTAGCCCCACCTCTACCAAGGCGAACGTAACCACATCTCAAGCTTCCACAGTTTCCGAGGAAACTACTTCAACAGAAGCAACAAGTGCAACGTCAACCACCTTAGAAAGTACATCTGCGACAGAGGAAAGTACAACAGAGGTAACTACTAGCCCCACCTCTACCCAGACGGAGATGACCACATCTCAAGCTTCCACAGTTTCCGAGGAAACTACTTCAACAGAAGCAACAAGTGCAACGTCAAACACCTTGGAAACTACATCTGCGACAGAGGAAAGTACAACAGAGGTAACTACTAGCCCCACCTCTACCCAGACGGAGATGACAACATCTCAAGCTTCCACAGTTTCCGAGGAAACTACTTCAACAGAAGCAACAAGTGCAACGTCAAGCACCTTGGAAAGTACATCTGCGACAGAGGAAAGTACAACAGAGGTAACTACTAGTCCAACCTCTACCCAGACGGAGGTAACCACATCTCAAGCTTCCACAGTTTCCGAGGAAACTACTTCAACAGAAGCAACAAGTGCAACGTCAAGCACATTGGAAAGTACATCTGCGACAGAGGAAAGTACAACAGAGGTAACTACTAGCCCCACCTCTACCCAGACGGAGATGACCACATCTCAAGCTTCCACAGTTTCCGAAGAAACTACTTCAACAGAAGCACCAAGTGCAACTTCAAGCACATTGGAAAGTACATCTGCGACAGAGGAAAGTACAACAGAGGTAACTACAAGCCCCACCTCTACCCAGACGGAGATGACCACATCTCAAGCTTCCACAGTTTCCGAGGAAATTTCTTCAACAGAAGCAACAAGTGCAACGTCAAGCACATTGGAAAGTACATCTGCGACAGAGGAAAGTGCAACAGAGGAAACTACTAGCCCCACCTCTACCCAGACGGAGATGACCACATCTCAAGCTTCCACAGTTTCTGAGGAAACTACTTCAACAGAAGCAACAAGTGCAACGTCAAGCACCTTGGAAACTACATCTGCGACAGAGGAAAGTACAACAGAGGTAACTACTAGCCCCACCTCTACCCAGATGGAGTTAACCACATCTCAAGCTTCCACAGTTTCTGAGGAAACTACTTCAACAGAAGCAACAAGTGCAACGTCAAGCACCTTGGAAAGTACATCTGCGACAGAGGAAAGTACAACAGAGGTAACTACTAGCCCCACCTCTACCCAGACGGAGATGACCAAATCTCAAGCTTCCACAGTTTCCGAGGAAACTACTTCAACAGAAGCAACAAGTGCAACGTCAAGCACCTTGGAAAGTACATCTGCGACAGAGGAAAGTACAACAGAGGTAACTACTAGCCCCACCTCTATCCAGGCGGAGGTAACCACATCTCAAGCTTCCACAGTTTCCGAGAAAACTACTTCAACAGAAGCAACAAGTGCAACGTCAAGCACCTTGGAAAGTACATCTGCGACAGAGGAAAGTACAACAGAGGTAACTACTAGCCCCACCTCTACCCAGACGGAGATGACCACATCTCAAGCTTCCACAGTTTCCGAGGAAACTACTTCAACAGAAGCAACGTCAAGCACATTGGAAAGTACATCTGCGACAGAGGAAAGTACAACAGAGGTAACTACTAGCCCCACCTCTATCCAGGCGGAGGTAACCACATCTCAAGCTTCCACAGTTTCCGAGAAAAATACTTCAACAGAAGCAACAAGTGCAACGTCAAGTACCTTGGAAAGTACATCTGCGACAGAGGAAAGTACAACAGAGGTAACTACTAGCCCCACCTCTACCCAGACGGAGATGACCACATCTCAAGCTTCCACAGTTTCCGAGGAAACTACTTCAACAGAAGCAACAAGTGCAACGTCAAGCACATTGGAAAGTACATCTGCGACAGAGGAAAGTACAACAGAGGTAACTACTAGCCCCACCTCTACCAAGGCGGAGGTAACCACATCTCAAGCTTCCACAGTTTCCGTGGAAACTACTTCAACAGAAGCAACAAGTGCAACGTCAAGCACCTTGGAAAGTACATCTGCGACAGAGGAAAGTACAACAGAGGTAACTACTAGCCCCACCTCTACCCAGGCGGAGATGACCACATCTCAAGCTTCCACAGTTTCCGAGGAAACTACTTCAACAGAAGCAACAAGTGCAACGTCAAGCACCTTGGAAACTACATCTGCGACAGAGGAAAGTACAACAGAGGTAACTACTAGCCCCACCTCTACCCAGATGGAGGTAACCACATCTCAAGCTTCCACAGTTTCCGTGGAAACTACTTCAACAGAAGCAACAAGTGCAACGTCAAGCACCTTGGAAAGTACATCTGCGACAGAGGAAAGTACAACAGAGGTAACTACTAGCCCCACCTCTACCCAGACGGAGATGACCACATCTCAAGCTTCCACAGTTTCCGAGGAAACTACTTCAACAGAAGCAACAAGTGCAACGTCAAGCACCTTGGAAACTACATCTGCGACAGAGGAAAGTACAACAGAGGTAACTACTAGCCCCACCTCTACCCAGATGGAGGTAACCACATCTCAAGCTTCCACAGTTTCCCAGGAAACTACTTCAACAGAAGCAACAAGTGGAACGTCAAGCACCTTGGAAAGTACATCTGCGACAGAGGAAAGTACAACAGAGGTAACTACTAGCCCCACCTCTACCCCGACGGAGATGACCACATCTCAAGCTTCCACAGTTTCCGAGGAAACTACTTCAACAGAAGCAACAAGTGCAACGTCAAGCACCTTGGAAAGTACATCTGCGACAGAGGAAAGTACAACAGAGGTAACTACTAGCCCTACCTCTACCCAGACGGAGATGACCACATCTCAAGCTTCCACAGTTTCCGAGGAAACTACTTCAACAGAAGCAACAAGTGGAACGTCAAGCACATTGGAAAGTACATCTGCGACAGAGGAAAGTACAACAGAGGTAACTACTAGCCCCACCTCTACCCAGGCGGAGGTAACCACATCTCAAGCTTCCACAGTTTCCGAGGAAACTACTTCAACAGAAGCAACAAGTGCAACGTCAAGCACGTTGGAAAGTACATCTGCGACAGAGGAAAGTACAACAGAGGTAACTACAAACCCGATCTCTACCCAGACGGAGATGACCACATCTCAAGCTTCCACAGTTTCCGAGGAAACTACTTCAACAGAAGCAACAAGTGCAACGTCAAGCACCTTGGAAAGTACATCTGCGACAGAGGAAAGTACAACAGAGGTAACTACTAGCCCCACCTCTACCCAGACGGAGATGACCACATCTCAAGCTTCCACAGTTTCCGAGGAAACTACTTCAACAGAAGCAACAAGTGCAACGTCAAGCACCTTGGAAAGTACATCTGCGACAGAGGAAAGTACAACAGAGGTAACTACTAGCCCTACCTCTACCCAGACGGAGATGACCACATCTCAAGCTTCCACAGTTTCCGAGGAAACTACTTCAACAGAAGCAACAAGTGGAACGTCAAGCACATTGGAAAGTACATCTGCGACAGAGGAAAGTACAACAGAGGTAACTACTAGCCCCACCTCTACCCAGGCGGAGGTAACCACATCTCAAGCTTCCACAGTTTCCGAGGAAACTACTTCAACAGAAGCAACAAGTGCAACGTCAAGCACGTTGGAAAGTACATCTGCGACGGAGGAAAGTACAACAGAGGTAACTACAAACCCCATCTCTACCCAGACGGAGATGACCACATCTCAAGCTTCCACAGTTTCCGAGGAAACTACTTCAACAGAAGCAACAAGTGCAACGTCAAGCACCTTGGAAAGTACATCTGCGACAGAGGAAAGTACAACAGAGGTAACTACTAGCCCCACCTCTACCCAGACGGAGATGACCACATCTCAAGCTTCCACAGTTTCTGAGGAAACTACTTCAACAGAAGCAACGAGTGCAACGTCAAGCACCTTGGAAAGTACATCTGCGACAGAGGAAAGTACAACAGAGGTAACTACTAGCCCCACCTCTACCCAGACGGAGATGACCACATCTCAAGCTTCCACAGTTTCCGAGGAAACTACTTCAATAGAAGCAACAAGTGCAACGTCAAGCACCTTGGAAAGTACATCTGCGACAGAGGAAAGTACAAAAGAGGTAACTACTAGCCCCACCTCTACCAAGGCGAACGTAACCACATCTCAAGCTTCCACAGTTTCCATGGAAACTACTTCAACAGAAGCAACAAGTGCAACGTCAAGCACATTGGAAAGTACATCTGCGACAGAGGAAAGTACAACAGAGGTAACTACTAATCCAACATCTACCCAGACGGAGATGACCACATCTCAAGCTTCCACAGTTTCCGAGGAAACTACTTCAACAGAAGCAACAAGTGCAACTTCAAGCACATTGGAAAGTACATCTGCGACAGAGGAAAGTACAACAGAGGTAACTACAAGCCCCACCTCTACCCAGACGGAGATGACCACATCTCAAGCTTCCACAGTTTCCGAGGAAACTACTTCAACAGAAGCAACAAGTGCAACGTCAAGCACCTTGGAAATTACATCTGCGACAGAGGAAAGTACAACAGAGGTAACTACTAGCCCCACCTCTACCCAGACGGAGATGACCACATCTCAAGCTTCCACAGTTTCTGAGGAAATTTCTTCAACAGAAGCAACAAGTGCAACGTCAAGCACCTTGGAAAGTACATCTGCGACAGAGGAAAGTGCAACAGAGGTAACTACTAGCCCCACCTCTACCCAGACGGACATGACCACATCTCAAGCTTCCACAGTTTCTGAGGAAATTTCTTCAACAGAAGCAACAAGTGCAACGTCAAGCACCTTGGAAACTACATCTGCGACAGAGGAAAGTACAACAGAGGTAACTACTAGCCCCACCTCTACCCAGGCGGAGATGACCACATCTCAAGCTTCCACAGTTTCCGAGGAAACTACTTCAACAGAAGCAACAAGTGCAACGTCAAGCACCTTGGAAAGTACATCTGCGACAGAGGAAAGTACAACAGAGGTAACTACTAGCCCCACCTCTACCCAGACGGAGATGACCAAATCTCAAGCTTCCACAGTTTCCGAGGAAACTACTTCAACAGAAGCAACAAGTGCAACGTCAAGCACATTGGAAAGTACATCTGCGACAGAGGAAAGTACAACAGAGGTAACTACTAGCCCCACCTCTACCCAGACGGAGATGACCACATCTCAAGCTTCCACAGTTTCTGAGGAAATTTCTTCAACAGAAGCAACAAGTGCAACGTCAAGCACCTTGGAAAGTACATCTGCGACAGAGGAAAGTGCAACAGAGGTAACTACTAGCCCCACCTCTACCCAGACGGACATGACCACATCTCAAGCTTCCACAGTTTCTGAGGAAATTTCTTCAACAGAAGCAACAAGTGCAACGTCAAGCACCTTGGAAACTACATCTGCGACAGAGGAAAGTACAACAGAGGTAACTACTAGCCCCACCTCTACCCAGGCGGAGATGACCACATCTCAAGCTTCCACAGTTTCCGAGGAAACTACTTCAACAGAAGCAACAAGTGCAACGTCAAGCACCTTGGAAAGTACATCTGCGACAGAGGAAAGTACAACAGAGGTAACTACTAACCCCACCTCTACCCAGACGGAGATGACCAAATCTCAAGCTTCCACAGTTTCCGAGGAAACTACTTCAACAGAAGCAACAAGTGCAACGTCAAGCACATTGGAAAGTACATCTGCGACAGAGGAAAGTACAACAGAGGTAACTACTAGCCCCACCTCTACCCAGACGGAGATGACCACATCTCAAGCTTCCACAGTTTCCGAGGAAACTACTTCAACAGAAGCAACAAGTGCAACGTCAAGCACCTTGGAAACTACATCTGCGACAGAGGAAAGTACAACAGAGGTAACTACTAGCCCCACCTCTATCCAGGCGGAGGTAACCACATCTCAAGCTTCCACAGTTTCCGAGGAAACTACTTCAACAGAAGCAACAAGTGCAACGTCAAGCACCTTGGAAAGTACATCTGCGACAGAGGAAAGTACAACAGAGGTAACTACTAGCCCAACCTCTACCCAGACGGAGATGACCACATCTCAAGCTTCCACAGTTTCCGAGGAAACTACTTCAACAGAAGCAACAAGTGCAACGTCAAGCACCTTGGAAAGTACATCTGCGACAGAGGAAAGAACAACAGAGGTAACTACTAGCCCCACCTCTACCCAGACGGAGGTAACCACATCTCAAGCTTCCACAGTTTCCGAGGAAACTACTTCAACAGAAGCAACGAGTGCAACGTCAAGCACCTTGGAAAGTACATCTGCGACAGAGGAAAGTACAACAGAGGTAACTACTAGCCCCACCTTTACCCAGACGGAGATGACCACATCTCAAGCTTCCACAGTTTCCGAGGAAACTACTTCAACAGAAGCAACAAGTGCAACGTCAAGCACCTTGGAAAGTACATCTGCGACAGAGGAAAGTACAACAGAGGTAACTACTAGCCCCACCTCTACCCAGATGGAGGTAACCACATCTCAAGCTTCCACAATTTCCGGGGAAACTACTTCAACAGAAGCAACAAGTGCAACGTCAAGCACCTTGGAAACTACATCTGCGACAGAGGAAAGTACAACAGAGGTAACTACTAGCCCAACCTCTACCCAAACGGAGCTAACCACATCTCAAGCTTCCACAGTTTCCGAGGAAACTACTTCAACAGAAGCAACAAGTGCAACGATAAGCACCTTGGAAAGTACATCTGCGACAGAGGAAAGTACAACAGAGGTAACTACTAGCCCCACCTCTACCCTGACGGAGATGACCACATCTCAAGCTTCCACAGTTTCCGAGGAAACTACTTCAACAGAAGCAACAAGTGCAACGTCAAGCACCTTGGAAAGTACATCTGCGACAGAGGAAAGTACAACAGAGGTAACTACTAGTCCCACCTCTACCGAAACGGAGCTAACCACATCTCAAGCTTCCACAGTTTCCGAGGAAACTACTTCAACAGAAGCAACAAGTCCAACGTCAAGCACCTTGGAAACTACATCTGCGACAGAGGAAAGTACAACAGAGGTAATAACTATCCCCGCCTTTACTCAGACGGAGATGACCACATCTCAAGCTTCCACAGTTTCCGTGGAAACTACTTCAACAGAAGCAACAAGTGCAACGTCAAGCACCTTGGAAACTACATCTGCGACAGAGGAAAGTACAACAGAGGTAACTACTAGCCCAACCTCTACCCAGGCGGAGGTAACCACATCTCAAGCTTCCACAGTTTCCGAGGAAACTACTTCAACAGAAGCAACAAGTGCAGCGTCAAGCACCTTGGAAAGTACATCTGCGACAGAGGAAAGTACAACAGAGGTAACTACTAGCCCCAGCTCTACCCAGACGGAGCTAACCACATTTCAAGCTTCCACAGTTTCCGAGGAAAGTACTTCAACAGAAGCAACAAGTGCAACGTCAAGCACCTTTGAAAGAACATCTGCGACAGAGGAAAGTACAACAGAGGTAACTACTAGCCCCATCTCTACCCAGACGGAGATGACCACATCTCAAGCTTCCACAGTTTCCGAGGAAACTACTTCAACAGAAGCAACAAGTGCAACGTCAAGCACCTTGGAAAGTACATCTGCGACAGAGGAAAGTACAACAGAGGTAACTACTAGTCCCACCTCTACCCAGACGGAGGTAACCACATCTCAAGCTTCCACAGTTTCCGAGGAAAGTACTTCAACAGAAGCAACAAGTGCAACGTCAAGCACCTTGGAAAGAACATCTGCGACAGAGGAAAGTACAACAGAGGTTACTACTAGCCCCATCTCTACCCAGACGGAGATGACCACATCTCAAGCTTCCACAGTTTCCGGGGAAACTACTTCAACAGAAGCAACAAGTGCAACGTCAAGCACCTTGGAAAGTACATCTGCGACAGAGGAAAGTACAACAGAGGTAACTACTAGCCCCACCTCTACCCAGACGGAAATGACCACATCTCAAGCTTCCACAGTTTCCGAGGAAACTACTTCAACAGAAGCAACAAGTGCAACGTCAAGCACCTTGGAAACTACATCTGCGACAGAGGAAAGTACAACAGAGGTAACTTCTAGTCCCACCTCTACCCAGACGGAGGTAACCACATCTCAAGCTTCCACAGTTTCCCAGGAAACTACTTCAACAGAAGCAACAAGTGCAACGTCAAGCATCTTGGAAAGTACATCTGAGACAGAGAAAAGTACAACAGAGGTAACTACTAGCCCCACCTCTACCCTGACGGAGATGACCACATCTCAAGCTTCCACAGTTTCCGAGGAAACTACTTCAACAGAAGCAACAAGTGCAACGTCAAGCACCTTGGAAAGTACATCTGCGACAGAGGAAAGTACAACAGAGGTAACTACTAGTCCCACCTCTACCGAAACGGAGCTAACCACATCTCAAGCTTCCACAGTTTCCGAGGAAACTACTTCAACAGAAGCAACAAGTCCAACGTCAAGCACCTTGGAAACTACATCTGCGACAGAGGAAAGTACAACAGAGGTAATAACTATCCCCGCCTTTACTCAGACGGAGATGACCACATCTCAAGCTTCCACAGTTTCCGTGGAAACTACTTCAACAGAAGCAACAAGTGCAACGTCAAGCACCTTGGAAACTACATCTGCGACAGAGGAAAGTACAACAGAGGTAACTACTAGCCCAACCTCTACCCAGGCGGAGGTAACCACATCTCAAGCTTCCACAGTTTCCGAGGAAACTACTTCAACAGAAGCAACAAGTGCAGCGTCAAGCACCTTGGAAAGTACATCTGCGACAGAGGAAAGTACAACAGAGGTAACTACTAGCCCCAGCTCTACCCAGACGGAGCTAACCACATTTCAAGCTTCCACAGTTTCCGAGGAAAGTACTTCAACAGAAGCAACAAGTGCAACGTCAAGCACCTTTGAAAGAACATCTGCGACAGAGGAAAGTACAACAGAGGTAACTACTAGCCCCATCTCTACCCAGACGGAGATGACCACATCTCAAGCTTCCACAGTTTCCGAGGAAACTACTTCAACAGAAGCAACAAGTGCAACGTCAAGCACCTTGGAAAGTACATCTGCGACAGAGGAAAGTACAACAGAGGTAACTACTAGTCCCACCTCTACCCAGACGGAGGTAACCACATCTCAAGCTTCCACAGTTTCCGAGGAAAGTACTTCAACAGAAGCAACAAGTGCAACGTCAAGCACCTTGGAAAGAACATCTGCGACAGAGGAAAGTACAACAGAGGTTACTACTAGCCCCATCTCTACCCAGACGGAGATGACCACATCTCAAGCTTCCACAGTTTCCGGGGAAACTACTTCAACAGAAGCAACAAGTGCAACGTCAAGCACCTTGGAAAGTACATCTGCGACAGAGGAAAGTACAACAGAGGTAACTACTAGCCCCACCTCTACCCAGACGGAAATGACCACATCTCAAGCTTCCACAGTTTCCGAGGAAACTACTTCAACAGAAGCAACAAGTGCAACGTCAAGCACCTTGGAAACTACATCTGCGACAGAGGAAAGTACAACAGAGGTAACTTCTAGTCCCACCTCTACCCAGACGGAGGTAACCACATCTCAAGCTTCCACAGTTTCCCAGGAAACTACTTCAACAGAAGCAACAAGTGCAACGTCAAGCACCTTGGAAAGTACATCTGAGACAGAGAAAAGTACAACAGAGGTAACTACTAGCCCCACCTCTACCCAGACGGAGATGACCACATCTCAATCTTCCACAGTTTCCGAGGAAACTACTTCAACAGAAGCAACAAGTGCAACGTCAAGCACCTTGGAAACTACATCTGCGACAGAGGAAAGTACAACAGAGGTAACTACTAGTCCCACCTCTACCCAGACGGAGGTAACCACATCTCAAGCTTCCACAGTTTCCGAGGAAACAACTTCAACAGAAGCAACAAGTGAAACGTCAAGCACCTTGGAAAGTACATCTGCGACAGAGGAAAGTACAACAGAGGTAACTACTAGCACCACCTCTATCCAGACCGAGATGACCACATCTCAAGCTTCCACAGTTTCCGAGGAAACTACTTCAACAGAAGCAACAAGTGCAGCGTCAAGCACATTGGAAAGTACATCTGCGACAGAGGAAGGTACAACAGAGGTAACTACTAGCCCCACCTCTATCCAGACGGATATGACCACATCTCAAGCTTCCACAGTTTCCGAGGAAACTACTTCAACAGAAGCAACAAGTGAAACGTCAAGCACCTTGGAAAGTACATCTGCGACAGAGGAAAGTACAACAGAGGTAACTACTAGCCCCACCTCTACCCAGACGGAGGTAACCACATCTCAAGCTTCCACAGTTTCCCAGGAAACTACTTCAACAGAAGCAACAAGTGCAACGTCAAGCACCTTGGAAAGTACATCTGCGACAGAGGAAAGTACAACAGAGGTAACTACTATTCCCACCTCTACCCAGACGGAGGTAACCACATCTCAAGCTTCCACAGTTTCCGAGGAAACTACTTCAACAGAAGCAACAAGTGCAACGTCAAGCACTTTGGAAAGTACATCTGCGACAGAGGAAAGTACAACAGA